AATTTTCTAATCATTTATTGTGGGTTGAATGGCTCTTGTCACAAAATGTCCTGATTAGGCTTTTTCACTGGGCAAGAGAGCTATTCTGAAGTATGTAAAGTAAGGCCTATGTTATAGAATACAAATATATTAGAAAAACTCCTACCAGATTTTCACAATACTTTTGAAAATAAGTGATGAATTTTGTAAGATTTTATACTGACATTTTTAAAAATTGTTTTCCACTTAATATTTTCATTTTCTAAGTCTAGACTTCTCAAAGATAAAATTTCTGAACTTCAGAGAGAAGGATTATTGTTGCAGTTATTACAAAACTGAATGAACTAAATAGGAAAACTGCTTGTCAAACTCCATGTTTTTAATAATAAATTTCCATCAATTTAGGAATTAAGAGTAAGAGTTACAGCTGAGGTGCTTTATTTTATCATTGCTGCCTAAGGTAGAGTTTATAGATAGATTATATCCCAGTGAACCCATGACTCCCATCCTTCAAGGGTGGTGATCAGCAGTGGTGTTTCCTAGCCTAAGAGGAGCTAAAATTTTAGCTATCCTGTATACTGACCTGCTGGACTACTGGCTCAGAGTGACAGATTCCTGACAGTTTTTCATGTTATGTCAAAGCTAAGTTTGTCACTTCCACCACAACAAATGAAATGTTTCAGTTCAAAGGTATCAAAAGGTTTCAGTTGAAAATTATGTAGATTCTATTGAACATCTCAGAAAACCAAAACTGATTCGGGCTCAGCTCTCACCATGACAGCCTGTAGTTCTACAGTAAAGGAAAACAAACATGTAAGACACTATTATAAACAGAGATTAGTAAAGATGGAAATTTATAAACAAATGCAAGCAATTGTAATTTTTTTGACTCATAAAATATACAGGAATCTGAACCACAGAGTTAAATGACTCTGTTCTTTTGTGTTATTTTATCTAGTACTCTTTTTTATTGAAATATATCTAAAAAAAAAAAATATGAGGGGCTCAGAAAAGCTTCTCTCAATTTGCAAAAGAAGCTGGATGGAAACTCAGTTGACTACTTCTGAATTTGTGTCACTCTTTCCAGGTAAGTGAAACCTTTTCTGAGACCTCTTGTTTCCTGGAAAAGTGAGAGCCTGGAGGAGCTGTGCCTTGAGGGAACCCTTTGTACCAGGTAATTTTTTACATTGACCATGTTCTGCATTGAAGAGATGAGATAAAGAATAATTCCTCCAGGACAGGATATTCCATTTAGTGAAGAAATTTTTTTTTCATGTTTCTTTCCAGATTTCATAAATTATAAAATTCTTCATTATTGCTAACAGTAATAAAAATTTAAAAAAAACCCACTCCTTGAACATTTTTCATAATGTTACCATTTTCAATGAAAACTGCTTATAAACTTAAATCATATTTGGTTTGTGCAAAGACTAAAAAAAGTTCATTTCATTTTAAAGACAAATACTAGTTCTTAAATATGTTTTAAATATTTGTAACCAGATGTCTGTGCAGGTGTGTAGACAGTCAATGCCAGTGTGAAATTAGTTCTGCAGTGAGAAGCTGCACTGGAGGGACACAGGAACACCATCTGTGAAGCTGTTGTACTTCAGACTGCACATCTAAAGATGCTGAGCTAAAGCTAAAATTGAGAAGGTTTAGAAGTCACCAACTTTTTTTCTTCATCTTTTTGGCTGTTCCTAAGTCTAAGTTATGCATGAGAGACTCTGGGCCTTTCTATGCCAATGCACTCTTCCGTAATGCTATCGTTGTAATTTTAGATTTTGAAGATAAGAGAAAAATGTCTCTGGTGTCTTTGTATTCAGCTTTCTGTATTGCAGAAATTGAGAAATTAATGAGATTTTTAAAATAGGTCACCTTGCATTTTCTTAATATCAGATAAAAATATTTCTTTTGATTGAAATTTATGAAAGAGTTTTTATACATAAGTAGAGTTATAGTTCTGTTGTGAGAGCCAGAGAGGCTTAACTACAAATTTTAGAAGAGCATTTACAACTTTGTTGGGCAGATTTCCCTAATATATATATTTCTTATGGCCTTGTCTTCCTTGTGATGTGAAAGCAATAAAATCTTGAATTCTGAATGACCTTTGATTTGAGCTGCATATTAACATAGGAAATATATGGACAATATCAGGAGTGACTTGCTGTTAAGACTTTTTTTTCTGTTTCAGGGGAGATGTTAGATTAAAATAACAAGAGAAAATTGTTGAGTTTCTGCTAGACATTCATCGATAGATCTCAAATGTTTATAACTCATTTCTTTTGCATCCCTGAATTTTCTTGGACTGAAATTAGTTACAGAAATTTTATGGTGAAATGTGCTCAGGGAAAAGAAATTGTATTTGGGGTTATTTTAGGTAGTTTAAGAAGAAAGGTCACTATTTATTCCAATCTTTGACCCCAAATAGATGGTTTTGCTTTGTCTTTGGTTTGTGGAGTTCTTTTGTTTGTTTGTTGAGTTTTTTTGTTTGTTTGTTTTTTAATAGATTTGAAGTACTTTCACTTTAACTGGAAACATGGATACAAGTGAGGCTATTATACATTCACTATGCAACAAAGCACATTTTCCTCTCAAAGGTGCAAGCATTTAACATTTGCTTTGATTATTTATCTATAAAGACAACTATTAAGGAAAAAATATATTTCTCCTTTTGTGAGTCAGGCTATTAAATTTAATTTTTGAAGGGACCAAATTTCTTTGCCCATTTTAGGAAAAAAAAAAGAAAAAAAAACCCCACAAAATGATACAGGAGCTTCATGTTTCTTTGAAGACTTGTAGGAAGAAGATAAGTCAGAAATGTTATGAATCTTCATGAACAATGAACATAACAGTCAATCCAGTCTTAAAGAAAAATGAGAGATTACACTGAATGGGTAATGTGCATGCGTGTAGAGATATAAAAAGGTCTGGCTGTATCTTATTTCTCCTCCATGACACCACTTTTTTATGTCTTTTATGGGAAAAGAGAACTGTGACAAATTCTTTGAGATGTTGTGTTGCCTATTGAGCCTGAAAAATCTCCACCATCTCTTATATAAAAGAAAATTTTTTTAGTAAACAGTAGAATAATTCTACCTCTAGACTTAAAGATAGGCCTTTTGGGGAGTTACCTGTAAAACGATTTTAAAGAAGTATTTTATTATGTACCAAATTCAGAACTTAATACAATTGAATTTCTGAGCTTGAAACTTCTTTTCCAGAAATTGCCTTACTTGTAATATCCTTTTGATGACCTAAGCTTTACTTCTTTTCATCTTCATTTCTCTTTTGCACTCGTGGTTATTCTATATGGTAAAAAGATTGCATATCTCTTCAGCTTAAACATTCAGTTCCATTTTACAACTGTATTTTATACAAATTATTTATAATTTGTATGGTTTCAGAATGTATATCTTAAACCTAAAACAACCTATGATACATCTGCTTTGTTGGTGTACAATGTTCTCATAGGAATCAGTGGAATGATATGAATCTGTTTATCTTGCATAGGTGTAATTCTGTCAATTTTATCATACATGAAATTTATAGAGGGAATTAAGTTGAATTATGGTGAGAATTAAGGGGGTTTTTGCTTGTGCATATGTGAATAAAATATGACAATTTGTGTTGAAATTATTGAACTGAAAATTGGAACTTATGTTTTTAGCTAAGCAAGGACAAAATATTGCTAATATTTGAGCTTGAGGGAAGAAAAATATATTTACAATTGCTTTCTTATTGTATTGAAATCATAAACTTCATGGTTTTTAACTTGCAATTGCCTTAATGTCACAAATAGCATGTGCAGAATAGGTTTGCATGATAAAGCAAACACTATTTTGTGGTAGCAGAAAGGTTCCTTCTGATAGTGTGAAGTTACTATGAAGATGAACGATAAAAAATAGTACCCTAAAGTTGATGCAATAATTTCAGTCAACCCCCAGATCTCTCACTTCCTGAATTCTCTCTTACCTTCTGTGAATCACCTTCCTGAGAGGATTCCCATACTAATAATATTGCTTTTATTAATATTTGTAGGCTATAAGGTACTTAATATATTCCTGGACTATAGTCACTTTTAATTCTGCAGCCTACATTTACAAAACTTTTACTTTAATTGAAAAAATGACACATAACACAGCAGAAAATTGATATTTTTAAGTATCTGGAAGCTAAAAGTAAGCATGGAGAAATACAGACAAACAATTTTGTGGATACTTAGGCATCTTAAAAATGTGATTAAGATGGGAAAAGTGAGAGGGAGAGGGTCTTTTTCTTTCCAACTCAACGTATTGATTTTTTCCCCTTTTCCTCTACTTGCTTAATTTTTTCCTTTCCCATTTGTCAAGTGCACATTCTGAATGTCAGCTGGAAATCTGCAGTGTTTGTCTGAGATTAGTCTATGCTAAGAAATGTGAATACTGAATTATCTTCTAAGTACATTGGAATTTTAAGTTTCGAGAAAGTGATATAATACTCATGGACTGTCCATCATGCTAAGTAAACTTAACACATAATCTTTCTCATCAAACACTCCTTTTTATGCAAGAGCATGTACTGTGACTGCTGGAGAGCCATTTTTGTTTTAACAGTGTGGGCATTTTTGCTTTCCAATGGGGAACAATTTGTTCAAGCAGATTCTAAATTTATTTTCATAAATATAAAGCAAACCAATTGATTTCCTAACATACTTCTCAAGGTATACTGTGACTTTAGGAGTAGCTATTAAGTTCAGTCCATCTCCTTTCTTATAAGGCTGATTTAGAAACGTGCAGCAAAAATATTCTCTTGCCTCCTTTCTACTTGTTCTGGAACTTAATGAAAGTTTCCTATCAGAGTGTCATGGGAGAGTTCAAGCTGGAAGGGACACCAGGAGGTACAAATTCCTACACAAGGCAAGTCAGCTGAGAAATCAGATCAGATTGCTCTAGGCTTTATCCAGTTGTGTCCTGAAGACTAAATCTTTCTTCTTTCAACTTTTATCTATTTCTTTGCTTCTTCCAAAAGTGAAGATTCTGCTTTCACCTTCTAAGTGACCTCCTCACAGATGCTGGCACGTGCTACTAGTTGGCTCTAAAGTTATTTCTTCTTAAGGCTAAACAAACCCTCTCCTTTTATCGCCTCTACACAGGGTAAGTGCTCCTTTTGAATCCTAAGGAATTTGCCCTTATATTCACAAGTTTCTAAAAATGAGAGGATGGTGTTGAAAACCTATTAGCCAGCCCTCTAAGTATCAATGGAAGCAGCCATCTGGACTTGTGTTCAACCCACACCAAACAAGTGCAGTGGTAGAAACTTTTCCTCTTGCCCTTGACAGACAAGTTTCATCAAGCCTATTTTCAAAAACTTCATATTCTTCATCTGAGTAATGACTTGTGGTTTTCTCCATTAGGATAATAATGTACCTGCTTTTCATGGATATCTAGAAATGTGTAAAAGACAAAGTTGTAGTTGACACCTGTCCCTTTTCTATGTTAGTTTGTGCTTTATACTCAGAAAAGTTAAGGAAAAGATTAATAGAAAAATATTTTTACTTTCTTTAGTATTAGATACATAGTTGTGTTTCATTATTTTAAAAAAATATGCTTTTAGGCTGCTCACTGTCCCACTCACCCTCTTTAAAAAAATGTAATAATGAAATTCCAAAGGACTTTAACAAAATTGGAATGAGGACAATGAAAAGACCAAAAGTGACTTAGTCTATCTCCTTTGGTTAGATATGCAAGGAAAATTATTATAACAATGCAATTGTTTATTATTAAGTCTTTTCAAGCTTGGATTATGTTTAAATACAAAAATTGACAATTCTGAAAAGTAAAAAAGGAAAATACAGGATATGGGCTACACATTTTAATTTACAAACTTGGGAAATAATTCCTTTTTTTTTATTTTTTTAATGAAGTCTTTGAGGTCCTTGTGTTGAAACTAGGTAAGGTACTCTGCACTACTTATTTATTTAAGATAAATCTTTCAGTAGAAATGGGTAGGACAGTTTAAATGTTTCTTACTAAGAATGAAATCTCTAATGAAACAAGGTAAATGCTCTTGAACCTGATAAACTCCTCTGTGGATGAGAAGAGAGGAGCTTGGCTTCCCTCTTGCAGACCTCCTCCTGCTTTCAATCTATGTCTTTAACAAACGTAGACAAGTGAAGGGAGTGGCATGGGCCGAAGTAGATCAGAACAATGATAACATGCAAGCAGCATCTTTAATTGGCCTCTTATGGTCCACTCATTATTTGGAATAGACACAGGTGGTAGAAATGAAGTATGTGCTGAGGCATTACTTCAACTGTAAAGAAGAATTTTCAATAACACTTATTAGTGAAACCCAGATGGTTTTTTTGTGTGAATGCCACTGGTGCAAGAGGAAGCCTGTATAGCTCTATCCTGTATGGCCACCTGCTGAATTTCTGACAATTTTCTATAAAATGTGTCTCAGCCTTTGGGGCTGTCACTGTCCAGAAACCACCCCAGGTGGATGTTTGGGGATTGTGCTTTAGGGTGCATGCACAGGAATTGTCTGGTTACAGGAAGGGCGCTCTTCCCTTCAACAATATTCCTTACTCATTAGCCTTTTATGATCTCATGAGTACAAGGCCTTACTGCACTTTCTCTTCAGATGGACAACTTCAGTAGACATCTAACAAATCTCCTTTGTTCAGTCTTGAAAGTACTTTGGGGTGTAATTCACCTTCAGAAGTTTGTCTGGGCTTATAAGTTCTCCAGTTAAGTGAGATGTTGATGAATCATTTCTTTAGTTTGTTAGACAGATGACATTTGATTCAGCAACTAGAGGAGTCTCTTTATGTTGACCTTTAATACTCTCTCTATTTCATTGCCTTTCAAGTATTTGTAGTCCAGTATTTATTGGAAACTATGCTGACTTGGTGCTGTAATGCTTTTTTTTGTGTGAAATTTCAGCTGAGCACATTAGTATTGCCATCTAAGCAGTAATATTAATCATTAAATGCCCTTCTTCATATTTTTCTTTAATAAATCTTGTTAATAATTAATGTGGTTCTTTTGATAACTCCAAGTCAAGCTAGGAAAGATTTAATAACTTTTCTCCAAATGACCTATGAAGGTCTCAAAATCTATTAGAATAATTAATGCTTAACTGTGAAGTTGAGCATATTTCACATAATTTTTAATGTGTGCTTCTGATAAATATTGTTTACAATACCAGTGATTAATCAGTGTTATAACTACATGTCCATATGCATAAAGGAGAAACACCCAGAAGTGAATTTAAATTTTAGTATAATTGGAGCTAGACAAGAGAAACTGTGAGCTGTATATGAGGTAAAGAGAAAGAAGGCTTGGTAGAACTGCCTCTGAAGCAAATCTGACACATTCACAGTGATGCATTTCTACCTCTAGGGCTGCAGTTTCACCATTATGATGATATAGGATGCACTTAAGGCCTGAGTTCATAGAAATGTATGGATGTAATGTGGTTTTCCAAAGAGAGCTTTTAGTGATGCAGCTCATCAAATTGCTAATATCATTGTGTATTGAGATGGACTCCTAACTTTATGTTATATAGTTGTGCCAGCCCAAAAAAGGTAATTCCTTAACCTAATCTTCATTTTACATTCAAAAATATCTAGGTAAAAATATATGACTCTTCATGTTGTGGGTAAAATAAATTATATCACTTACGTAGTTTCTCGTTCTGGAAAATAACTAATATATAACAAATGCCATTAAATACTGTTCTCTATTCATTCCAGTATGAAATTTTTGAATGTAACCAGCCTTGTTTATTTGGTGTGCTGGGGATGCAGTGCCTGTTAAATAAACAGGTTCTTTCCACTTCTCTCTGAGGAATTCTTGCCAAACCAGTTGGGGGAAGGGGCCGTGTGGGTTTGCTTTCTGCAGGGGCCCCCTTTGGAGGCTTTCACCCAAATATGCCCTAAACTGGGACATATATGAATAATTATTCTTCTGTAAAATAACTGAGGTTTTTTTAGATATTTTGCACTATGATAATCTCCCACATGCAGGGGGAATTTATTACTGCATTTATGATAGAATATTCCTCATAGTTTTTCTGTGATTGATCTTCCGGTACTATATTTGAATATTTGCTCTTTATTTTAAAAAATAAAAAGGAAAAGGAAAGAGAGAAAAGAAAAGAAAAGAAAGAAATAAAACATTGCATGTAGAAAGACTTCTTATGCACATCTCTCCTCCTCTGATGAAAGTGAATGCCTGTGGGAGTATTACCACATCCAGCTGGAGGGTAGAACATGACTTAGAAACAAACCTAGTGTCATCATGAAGCAGTTTTTCTTTATCAGAACTCTAAAGAACTTGTCAGCAAGAAAAAGCTTGTCTAAAACATTAATTTTAGTATTGCAATTATTTGCCAATACAATCTACACCTGGATATTCTTAACCCCAGAATATGTAACAGCCACCTACATGCATGTGCTATGCATTAAAATGGCAAAAATCTAATGCCTCTGTGGTCTTATTCTGAGGCAGAAACATAAAAAAAATTATAAGTATTCTCCAAGATTTCCTTCTTTGGCATGTTATTTTGAGGGGTTGGGGACTTCATGGATGGTATTCATGGTGCCACATAACCCTTTGAAAAACCTCTAACCTCTAGATGAATAATCATACTATTAAGATCCACACTAGGTGGATCACATTAGGTGAAACAGCTAAAAGAAAAAGAAACTGAAGTGCTCAATTTTTTTTTCTTTAATTCCTAAAACCAAACACGATTTTAGAAGTACTATAATTATTAATATATTTATTGCTATTTTTTGTTTTCTAAATTCTCTTGTGTGTGCTTCCTAATTTGTTTTATGTGCTCTGACTGTGATACTATCTGACCATAATGGTGCTTTTACGGTCTGATAGTTACTAACCATAACCAGAAAATTGTTTGCACCATGGTGTTACCTTATAGATCTCACAAATGTTCCTGGTCCTGTAAACAGAATATATAGCATGCATACAATTCAAATGCAGGTAATTTCTTTCTCCAAAAGAAGGTAAAATATACAGGAGCCTTTGATTTTCAATATGAACAAAGTGATATTAGTTTGCAAGCATTCTAATGTTATGTTTCAAAAAATAATATTACATTTCCAGACGTTTCTTTATAGTAGTTGTAGTTTGTGGTTGCAAAAAATGTAATTCTGAGAGAAATTAAAGCCTTGTATTCACCTACTACTACATTCAAAAATACCCATGTTTGAATACTGTCTGGAGTTTTAGGTACAAGTGATTCAGTAGAATCCCATGTCTGTTCCAGTAATTCTTTAGGAAGACACTCAACTAGTCTAAAGTGTTCTATGCCTTGAGGCATGTGCAGCCTTGGTAAATCTCACCAGAAAGTGGGAAAGAAGGTGTCTGTAAACCTCTGCAAGTCCTAATGTGTGTATTCAGTATTATATAACTTGAGGCCTAAATTCTAAAATAAACTTGTTTCAAAGTGATGGGTATATGCTAAGGATATATTCTGATGATGTTTGGATAAGTTTGTATCATCTTTTCTTTTCAAGAAATAAGACAAATTATTTTTGCTTAAATTATAACTGGTGGCATACAACTTACCAAAGGCTTATTGCATCTTTTCATCCTGAAAGGGGAATGTGGCTGGAGAGAAGGCTTTATCACGCTCTTCTTTAGTTTGGAGAAAGAAAATATTCCTTGTTCAAGAGCTAGTTAAGATTGTATGTTATTTAATTTTTCTTTATGAAAAAGAGAATGTTCTGAGCAAGAAATCTGTTTCTATTTTTATATGTAAATTTATTTATTTATTTATTTAATTATTTAATGTAATCTGCACTTGTAATTTTTTTTATAACCCAGAACTCCCATGTAAAGTTGATCCAATACAAAACCAAGTAAGATTACCAATTCTTTTGGGACTGTAAATTTTCCCTTACTGTAATGGTTCTGTGTTGATATTTTAGAAGTGTCTTCTTTGAAAGTAATTCACATGGGATATTTGGAACAATAGTATACAGAATAAACAATTTTGTGGCAAATATATTAGTGGCCAGTATCCTTTATGGGAAAAGCTTAGCATATTTTCTAGTCTTCTGACAAATACAGCATCAAGCCGTGAAACATAATATCAAGGACAGAATACAGAAGTATATTTGCACTTTGTATGGAGCACATAGTGTAAGCCAGCTGCATCATGTATCACCAAGTACAAAAGAAAGATCCAGTTAAAAAGGCAGATTTTAAATCATATTTAAGGAATACTAGAACCTGAAATTTTGCTTTCTTTTTAAGGTCAAATGCAATTTATTGTGAATCTGAGTCATGCTTAATGTTAACTCATGTTCATTTCTCCTACTCATATCCCTTTGCTTCCTGAAATATTCTCTTTTCTCACAGTGTTCAGGTTTGTTATGTGACATTCTGTCCTTTCTTCCACTCTACTGATGCGTCATGGCATTATGAAAACAAAGACAGAACTGCCTGCTGAAACCTTTTCTACATTACATTCAGTGTTTCAGCAAACTTCTGATAAAGCTTCTGTGTAAGGAAAGAATAAGAGAAATTTATAACAATAGTTCATTTTATGGACTGATGAAGGATGAGTGTCATCTGTTGGAGTGCACCTTCTAAACTACCCTGAAGTCAGAAAATGTGCTGTCTCCTAGCAGCAGGAGGAAAAGCACGAAGCATGGTAGTTGTAAGAATATTTCCTAAGTTTAGCAGAAAGCACTCAACAGTCAGTGTCTGAGAAATCACAAATTTAGTTACTGAGGGCTTTATCCAAAATGTTTGTACATTGCATTCTTTGAGAGATTGCCCCTCTTTATTATTCTGGATTAGTTTCCCTGAGTCTTTGTTGGGCTGTCCTGAATCAAGACACAGAAGCCTACTCAGTTTCTGTGAGGCAAGGCAATGCCAATTGTGTCCAAGCCAATAAAGAGGGTGCTGGGGCATGACTTTTTTGCAGGTTATTCATTATATTCTTATGTTTACTTTCAGCTGAAATTAAATATTAAAATATGTCTGCAGAATTATGTTTCCTGCCCTACTAGAGTGGAAAGTTTACTGTGAATATAAAATATTAAATCTGTAGTGTTCATTTGTGGGTAGGAGGCCAGAAGGAGCAAAAAGAGTACAGTATTTAAGAAACTTTTCTGTTTTAAATACACATTTGCAATGGAAGGAGATAATAAAGTGGCATTTACTTTTCCTTATAAAAAGAGGTATTATATAATAACTACTTCTTTCTTCCCAGTTCTCATTGGAAATTAGTGTGAGACCATATGGGATTTAAATTATTTTAATTAATCCATTCTTAATGTACAGACCTGAACATTGAAATGGATGTAACACAGGCATAGAGGAATATACAATCTCCATAGCTTTCCAAGATTTCCATATCTGTCAAGGTAAGCTGATTTTAAACTCCCATTTCTCTGTAAACAAGATTAAATCAGGATTTTTTTAAAGGTACCTGAGTAGTTTGAGGTGCAGAAAACTTGTTCCATCTTATGTTTGAATAAGAAAAAAAATATTGTTTAATTTCATCATTGGCTTACAGTCTTATAGTTTAATAAAGTCACTAAATGCTACTTCATCATTACATTAAGCAGCACTGTTTTCAAAGTAGTTCTGTAACATTTTTAAAATACAGTAATCTTAACTTTATGTAATTACCTGTAGTAGAAACTGCTATTTTCTTTAATTCCATACAAGAATTTACTACTACACTATTATTTTTTATACCTAAAGTTGGAACATTGCTCTTAGAGATTTTGAAATAACTAATTTCTCCAGAGATGAGAATGAAATAAAGGAAATATTATAAAGAAATGAAATTCTGAACTCACTCTGAAAATGAACTATATGTTAAAGTTATTTTAATACTTTCTTTAAAAAGGGAAGACTGTGATATTATTCACTAACAATATAGTTTTGCTTCTGCTTTTTTATCAGGGTGATCAATGTTAGTAATTTCATTGTAATACTCAAATAGAGAAATTTCATTATGGCAACAGAAGCCCAGTTCTGGGAAGCGAGCAGTATGGGAAAATAAAGTGGAACTTGATTATTTGTGCTGCAACAAATTTCCTGCGCTCCATCACTTCTAGAATGTTATAGTCACTTAGACACTGTGCACTTGCAGTATCATTGGAAAAACCCACCCACTTCAGATCTCTTTTGCAACTAAATGAGGAAAGATTCTAATGTTTAATTCACAATGACATTTTTTGCTTTCTTTTGTTGTAGTTTTCATGATCTGTAATCAGTTCTGTCATTAATCACATTTGAAATTTAAAAAAAAAAAGAGGTTTTCCCAATATTTTATGGAAATTAATGGAGAGATTAGGTTGTTCAGTTGGGTGAGCCTTGTGGCCTTGGTTAAGGAAATGAAGACTCAAGTTCAGATTGGTGTTATTCAGGATGTGGAGTAGGAATCAAAGAAATTTCTTCTCTAAAGGACTGTCACTGTCATTTACTAAGCATAGTTGCTCCATTACTCCTCCTCTATCTTTTCCTTAATCCAAATTTGCTGAATGTGAAACATATTTCGAAAATGTTTAACTGAAAACAAGTTAAAAATGAAACAGTTATAGCTGTAAAAACACCTGGAGTTCAAAAAGAACTCAGCTCTTATTTTTCAATGACACTGCATAGGTTCTGCAACATATTGTTTAACCACGTGTGATAAAGGTCTAAAAATAATGAGCAGTCTACTCATTAACTAAATTATTAATTCAAAGTGGTTTTTAAATTATTCTTAAAAATAATTATGTAATTTGAGCTGTGCTACCACCATTAATACTGGATAAATTTAACTAATCTTTGCAGTTGAACTCCTCTGTGAAGAACTTAACTAGTCAAATACTAAACTCTTGGCTCAGTGTATGGTGTATTGTCTTTCTGGGCTTAATGAGATTTTAGGTCTAACCTGGAAGGTTTTTTTCACTCTTAAAGTCAGTTGTTTCAGCTTAGATATGTGTATTTCTTACGTGTTTGAGTTTATTTGACATTTGATGAAATTTGTCATTCAAGCAGGTGGTGAGCCTTTACTTTCTGCCTTGCACTGCTTAGCAGGACAATTGGATGGGAGAGAAGTCAAAATGCTAATTGGGATGAAACAATCTAGTGAATCCCTATGGAAATATTTTTGCCATGTCTACAGGAATCATGTGTAGGTAGTTTAGAAATTACATTAAAAACTAACAATTTTCTTTTCTATTATCAGGAATTTTTTCTAAGAGATGTAGAACCAAAGCTTTTAAAGTTTTTAAGTTACTATTTGCTTGAGATAAAATATTCAGTAGAATACATTATCTTTCAGGTACAAAATGCTTTACTCAGGTCCTATGTTTGATTTTTGGACAGAAATACTATATTTTCTGCATGGATAGGAAGGCATGGTATAACGTCAGTCAGAGAAGGTGGACTAAATCTGAAATATTTGGAATACACAGACCAGAACAGAAGAGTTACTTTTATAAAATGTCATATCCACAGTGTAGGCTTGCACTGCAGGCCCGCAGTGCCTGTTGGGTTCTTATACTTAATTAAGGTTTTCTTGTTGCTCTTTGATATGCAACCGGCGCTTCCTACTCTATTGATTTAAAGTCTTCTTTTAACAATATCTTAAGCAGTGATTTCTCAAAAGTGGCAGTAGCCAACATAGCCAACAATACCTTCCAAAAGCAAATGTACTGATTATTTGGTAAGTCACATAAATAGCAGGTTTTAGATAAGATGAATAGAGACTAGTGAAATACTGGGGTTTGCTGTTCTCTGTAGGGCTTTATCTTTCTACAAAGGATAATTGTGTCTAAAACTGCTCTAAATTTGTATCACATAGAGTAAACAGTTTCCCCTGCTCTCTGCAGATTTTAAAGCAATCTACATGTGTTTTAGAAAAGCAGTTGTTTCTGGAAAGAGGTGTTTCACAAAATGTCAGTACTACATGCTGCTCCTGGACTACTGTCCACTGTCAGATGTTTATGTGCATATACACTTCTGATGAGCTCGTTGAAAAACAGCTTGAGTACATCACACAGCAGAAATGCAGTATGGGGTAGAAAAACATTTAGTTCTAAAAGTATAAAAATCTTCCTATGTTGTAAAAAAAAAAAAATAAAAAGCAGGGCTTGGCCATTTCCCACACAATTCCTATAGGTAATGCACACTTCAAGACAAAAATCTAAAGTGATACTTTTCTTGTTGGAAATGACTGTGTTTTTCTTGCTGCTCAACAAGTCAGTGCTGGTGCAGTAGGACAGTAGCTGATTGGTAACCTGGCTCTCTTCCTTTGAAGGGACCTGCAGGCAGGAGAGAGGCGTGAGGATTGCAGTATGATTGCCCAAGAGGAGCGAACGAGCTTTCAGGTATGGACAATTTGGAGGACAGAGCTGATATTTATTTTATATACCAGAGTTTATTTTTCTTTTGAAAAAGAGCACAAAAGTGCCTCCTGGCTCTTGCCCTTGCATCTTTCTAAACCCATGGGGAAAGAGTGGCAGAAGGAACAAAAATTTCAAAGGTGTAACAGATGTGAACTTTTGACTGAAAGAAATTCACTACATGGTACATGACTGCTACTCAGTGTGACTGAGGATAGGAATTGCCCTGTGCTGCCCTGCTAGAGAATAAGACATTTTTTGGTGTGCAAGTAAGTTAAGGTCTGTCACACAGATAGATATTCATATGATCTCCTGAAGTATTAATGAACGGATGATGAACGGATTTAATTTTTCTGTCATCAAAGTTGCAATGAAATATAGATAGGAATTCAAATCCATTGACTTTTTGGATCACTAATTCTACATATTGAAGAATGTTTCACATGGATGGAGCTTCCATTCCTTATTTTGTTGTAAATGAGACATTCTAAAAAATATAATTTTTGATATTTTTGAAAAATGTTTTGAAAAAAAAATTTCTTTGCACTCTGCATACCTTTTTAAAATATGATCACTTCAATGACACTGACAGTGAAATTACAAAGGGTTGAGCACTTCTGCCATTTAGCTGCAAGGGAAAAGGAGACTGATTTTAGGGTTTTGGGAGATTTTGAATATATTAACATTCTTTCTAAGAAGCTTGTGTGGTGTTGCCTTTATCCCTACTTACTTTTGTATAGTTTTCAGTGCCTTGTGTTAAAACAGAAACATGTTGAATTCCTTCTTACGGCTTTGGAGCGAATTTATGTGATTTATGGAAACTAAGGAAAAAGACAGGGTTTTAATAGGAAAATCTGAGAATTTTCTTTACTACTCTAGTGTATTTTCTCTATACTTCCTCTATCAACACATCATAAAACAACAGATTTTATTTTCTTTTAAGAGGGTAAATTAAGAAAAAGATAATAAAAGAGGAACATTTCTTTAAGGGAGTTGACTGCAGTTATTCATCAGGATCTGACCTTTTTACCAGTTCCAGAGAGC